GCCAGACAACAGGACTGTGAAGCAACCTTGGAGGAGGTACTCATGACTGGGAAATGCAGGGTCATTATATTTATCTTCATATATATGTACATATATGTATGTGTGTATATATATATGAAATGTGAAAAACATTTGAAACAGGGTCTCACTCTGTAGACCAGATTGGCTTTGACCTTATAGAGATCTGCCTGCCTCTGCCCCCAAGTGCTGGGTCTAGACTAAGGCATCTGGCATCACACCTAGCTCTCTACTTTTAAAATGTATTTATTCTTTTTAGACAAAGTCTCACTAAGTTGCCCTTGAGCTTACTCTGTAGCCAGGAAGGCTTTGAACTCAGGAGTACCTTGAGTTTATACTATGTACCATCAGGCCCAGTTTGCAAACTCAGTTCAAAGTCTGGTTCCAAAAGGATTCAGGGCTCAGTGCAGGCACAGAGCAAGAAGGGCATGTGCCATCTACCGTGGGAACCCCTGGCTGACCTGCTTCTAATTAACAATACTTACATTGCAGAGCCCCTGTGGCTCCAGGTGCTGGGACAGGCTGGGAAGCAAGAACAAGTTCCCTTCAGATGGAAAGGCTGTTGCACGGGCAGTGAGCAGAGGGATAAGCATGTACTATGAGTCATCGAAGAGAATCGGGAGGGTAGCAGGTGGGGGGAGGCTGCCTTGAGTGGGAGCTCTGGGCTCCTTGCTCCCCACAGCTACTGCACCTACAGGGAGGCAGGGTGCTTGTTCAACATGGCCGAGTTCTCTCCAGGGTCTGAACCCAACAGGTCTTCTTTTCTCTCACATGCTGTTAAACCAAATCTGATCATTTACGTATTCAAGAGAACCCCCCTCTATCTGCAAATATTTGCCTACCTCCAGCAGCTCCCACCCACTCCCCAGGAGGCCAATTAAGACTCCCTCCTTGGGGACAGCAGGCAGCCTGACAGTGGGATTGCTGAATTCCAGAGGCTTCACAGACCTGAGATGGCAGCTCCCAGCTGCCAGTGATCAGGGGGTTGGATCAGCTAGCCTGGTGGCATACCAGCCCCTTCCCATGAGAACAAGTGTTAGCATGTGTGCACATACATGTGTGCTTGCATACACACACACACACACACACACACACACACACACACCCACACACACACGGAAACAAAACACCAGCATTTCCAGATGCCAAGGGCTCTGGATTCTCGCCTGGTGTGCAGAAGACACAAGCCCAGAGCTGTTTGGTGCCCAAAGCCAAGTGACACAGAAGTAAAGGGACAGATGAGTAATGACACCCTCAGCTCCCCTCAGTCCTCCTGTGTGTCTTGCTGCCCGGGTCTTCCAGTCCTGCTTTCAGCTTTCCTGCCCTGCAAAAGCCACGCAACAAAATCTTGTGCTCTGAGCCACTTGTAGGCAAAGAGCAGGAAAGGGGCGGGGGAGAAAATAGAACAGAGCAGCAGAGCTGGAACATTCTCCTCAGAGGGAAGGGAAATCAAATTTGATGAACCTCTGCATAATGTTAAGTTATGAATGTGCAAAGTGATATTCTGCACATATGCTGTGAAACACTCGTCGTGGGCCTGAGCAGTCCGAGGCTACAGGAACTGTGGCTTGATGAGAAGCTGCTGCCTGGGTGAGGTACACGTGGTCTGAGCTGTTCCCTCAGCAGCGCAGGGCACAATTTCCCCAGGTGTATCAAATCAAAGCGTGACAGACAGTTACAGTGTTAATGGGGCGCCTGGGGCTTTGGGTCACTCACCACTGAGCGCTGCCCACCCCTCCAGTTCCAGCTACTGATGCCTGGGCTAGGACAAGCTCCTGACCATGCCGGGACTGAATGGTCTCCTCCCTGCCAGGACACCGTGTCTGCAGACAAGGAGGCTGGAGCTAAATGCCACACGAGAGGGAAGCAGCACCCAGGCTTCTCAAGGGTCACTGGAGAAGGCACCAAGAAGGCACCTCATGAGTTCCTACTAGGTTTCTGGTACAATCCTAGGCCGTGAGTGCCGTGAGTGGCACCAGGTGACACCAGTCCCAGAGCTGGTATGTGGGGCACACCTGCAGAGAAGTGACTAGAAAGCAGGGTGAGCTGATGGGCACCCTAGATGGAGCACAGCAAGTGCCAAGCTCTGGAGAGCCCATGGGGCAAAGGATGAGGCAGAGTCAGAGGAAGGTCTGGAATGATCAGAGAGGGACCCACCCTCCACACCATGTTCATTGTCCAGTCTTCTTCCCTTTAGTACCCGGGATCACCCAGCCTCACCCACTGAAAGTATTGCTTTTACCTCAGCGCCCCCCTCACTGCTCACCCTATGTACCCAAGGACTCACCTGGAAGGTGGTAGCAAGAAACACAGAAGAGAAAGGGGACAAGGAAAGAGGGAGGAATCAGGAAAGGTGCTCATGGGCAGACTCCCACTCAGGGCCCAGGTTCCCCTGAGAGCAAGCTAGGCGCAGTTTCTTCTATGGGTTAGGAGTCCCAGGCCTCTATCCACCACAGCCTCCTGGACATTCTAGCAGGCATCATGCTCTTGAGAAGGCTGACTCCTGAGTCACAAAGTGCTCTTATTCTGAGAGTCCCACACATGCAGGAAGAGCTTCCCTCCCATCCCCAAACACACACGATGTCTGTGGGAACGGGGCAGACATGACCACAGTTTCAGAACACCCGTGTGGACACAAGCAGGTGCCTGGGTTTGATGTTAAGTCTGCTTTTTCCCACTGAGTGGAGCAGCTTGATCCTCTAAGACATGGTCAGCCTGAAAAGGTTCAAACTTTAGAGCTGCACAGACCTAGGCCAACGTCCTCCATTACTGTGTGGTTTTAAACTAGTGTCTTCACATCTCTGAGTCTTGTCTGTCAAAGGAAGCAATGGTGCTCACTGGGAGGTCATGGGCATGCTGTTAGGTGCCTAGACACAGGACCTGGCACAGCTATGTGAGATAGCAGTAGCTGGCTGACTCTGTCTCCTCCACTCAGGAAGGTGGTGTGTGCTGTGGTGACGCTCTTTGGGAGAGTAGTACTAGCATACATGAGACCTTGGGTTCCATCTCTAGTACTGGGGAAAACAGGAGCACCCAAGGGGAAGCACTGGGTGTGGAGATCCCAGGCCCAGACCTGTTCTTCTTAGAGTCCCACAGCATGGAAGCTTAGGCAGGAGGCACTTCGTGTGGCCAGGACGAGAGGAGAGCAGGTCTGTCCTTGCCTATGCTGTCACTAGCCACTGCCAGCCTAGGAAGTGAACAGAGCAAGGCGGAACCAGCCATGCTGCGTGGGGCCCGCTTCCTAGCATGTAATGAGGGCAGGGCCTTTCATGGCCCGGAAGAGATTCCAGCAGCTAAAACCAGGCAAAGCGGCACTAGATTGTAGCCAGCCCACAGGAGTAACTTTGGATGGAGTTATTTCCTCTAGGAAATAAGAGGAAAGAACAAAGTGGACTCAGAACCACTGAACTGAGGAGGACAGGGGGCACCTCAAATACCAGGGTGCCCCAGCCGACGATCTGAAGGCCTTCAGAAGAACAGTTGAGAGGAGTCCAGCCTGATGTTGTCTCCAGCTTTTAAAATCCTGACATCTAGTCTCATCCATGTCTGCCTATACTGCTATGTATTACTCCTCCCATCAATCCATCCATCTAATTCATCTACCCATTTGCCTATCTACTTATCCATCCACCTACTAATCCAATCACTCAATTATCCATCTATCATTCCAACAACTTACCTATCCATCTATCTATTTATCTTTCCATCCTTATTGTGGTTTAATAAGGATCAGAAGAAACAAATAGGCCAAATAGATGTTTATTCAGGGAGAAATAACTTACAACATAGATGAACACCAGCAGGTTCCTGGTCCCAAGAATGCCTCCAGATGCTCTCCTGTCCTTGTTCCACCAGCAAGAGAGCACTCCTGGGCTCCTCCTCAGACCTAGTTCCCCCAGGTCACTTCCACCCTTGTCTCCACCCCAATGGGCGTGGTCAGTGCCACAGATGCAAAGTATATCACTACACATCCTCCTGTTCACCTGCATATCTATCCAACACTTACCTATCTATTCACCCACATATTCATCTATCAGCTGCCTTATCTATCCTCCCATTCACTTATCTATCCATATACTCATTCAGCCATCTACTCATTTACCTACTTATCCAGATTTTAACCATTCAACTGCCCATCTACCCATCCAAGCATTTAGCTACCATCCATCTATCCATTCACCCACCCATCCATCCACCCACCTACCCACCCATCCACCCACCCACCCATCCATCCACCCACCCACCCATCCATCCACCAATTCACCCACCCACCCATCCATCCATCCACCAATTCACCCACCCACCCACCCATCCACCCATCCATCCATCCACCCACCCACCCATCCATCCATCTACTTATCTAGCCATCCATCCACTATTTGTTGCCACCTATGTTGTTCCCAGACCACTTCTGAAGACATAAGTGATCAGGTTTCATCCTTGACTTTGAGAAGTCACCAACTTCTGGTGACCATCACCAACCCTGCCACTGGATCCTTTCACATAGCACCATTACAGGGCCCAAAGAAGGAAGGTATCATGGTTCAGCCTTCTTCTGATCATAGCTAAAGTGGCCCAGAGCTGAGCGGCTACCACTCAGGTGTTGATCCTTTTTTAAAGATGTATTTATTTATTATGTCTACAGTGTTCTGCCTACATGTGTCCCTGCACACCAGAAGAGGGCACCAGATATCATTACCATGTGATTGCTGGGAACTGAATTCAGGACTCTGGAAGAGCAGCTTAGACTCTTAACCTCTGAGCCATATCTCCAACCCAGTCCTAAGCAATCTTATGCCCACAAAACATTAGATGTCCCAGAAATCCAAAGTCCATACTCTCTCTTACCCAGCCTGTCCTAGCTCCAGGATCACCTCACTCAGACCATTTGCTCCAGTCTTGAATGGGATCTTTGGGTTACTGAAATCAGGCCCTGGGCTTCAGGGCTAGCACTAGCCAGAGGTGCCCACATATGCACTGACCTCTCCCGGAAGTACTTGATGGCCTCGGGGTCTATGAAGGTCGGCTCCTCCCGGTAGCCCTGCTCAAAAACCTTGCGCTTGTGCCGGAACTCAATGACTGTCTTGGTGTAGGAGTTGAGTGTAGTGACAGATGCTGCCATGCAACAGGTAAACGAACCCCAGGCCAAGCTGCCAAGAGACCAGGAGAGAGATGGCACAGTGAGGGTGGGCAGGGACAAGGAGATTCATCCATGCCCCATTTATCTACCTAGAACAGCTATAAGCCCTAAGGCTTGGTTCCCACTCCACTGTAATCTGGAAGAATGACAATTGTCTTCACATTGCGACAAAACACATTACTAAGCCATTACTGTGAGAGCAAGGAGAATCAGTAACAATTATGTAGAGTATAGCAATGACCATATTGATCCTGGTAAGATGAAGAAGTCCTGGCCAGAGAAGAACATTCTAGAAAGAAGGAACAGTACATGCAAAGCTATGGAGCAAAGTTATGGAGGGAGGCATGAGGCAGTAGGGTGCATGAATACATTGTGGGAGGCAGGGATGCTGGAGTGGGGATGACTGAAGCTGATGCTGAAGAAGGAGGTGAGGCATGTTTACTTGAGTGTTGTTTCCTTTGCTCTCTCACTGGAAAATATATTTGACCTCTGTGCATACACTCCTCACATTCAGTCTGTGGACAGCATGGTTATAAGGATTAACACCTGACTCGTGGCTGACACATGGAAGCACTCAGAAAAGGCTTGCCATCATTACTGTCACCGGGAGAGATATTTTTAGGTCTTCTTTAGGTCTCAGTCTACAAGCTCTCCCTCTGGGAGATGAAGTTCTGATGTCCTGCTCAGCCATCTACTCCATACCTTTCCTCCATAGCTGGACTGCTTGGCTGTTCTATCTCCTGAGTGCACTGAACTCATCCCAAAGCCAGACAACCTACCCTGATTACAGCTTTCATTTCTAGAAATGGCCTCCTGCCGAACTCCTCTGACTTGGACTGTATGCTCACATTTAGTGCCAGGAGTGGGAGGCCACTTGGCTCCAGTCCCACGGGCCTGCTTTCTATCCAGGCTGCTGATCTCCTCTGCTCTCCTAGCACCACGGTACTACCTGAGAGCTGCAGGCTTTTACCTGCCAGCAGCCTACCTGTAGCTCTCTGAATACTGTCACCCCCAGTCCCCTGTTATCAGGGCAGCCCCGCCTTGCTCTTGACAACAGCCTCAGCAAACCTGTAGATTTGGCCTTTCTCAAATGGATCTTCAATAATCACTTATTTCCCTTCGTGCCTGACCCATTAATAGATTCCTCGCATCTTTTGGAGCTAATTTAGGTCTTCTAGAAGCCTGGAGTGTCTATAATAGACATTTTTAAGGTGTTAGCTAGCCTCTCCAAGGACTTGCATGCCCATTAAAATGTTCAATGTGTTTTACACCCCCCCACACACACACATACACTCACAGACATAGATACACAGAGAGAGACAGACAGACAGACAGAAAGAGACACAGACAGAGACAGAAAGACAAAGGAAGGGAGGGGGAGGAAGGGAGGGAGGGAGGGGGAAGGAGGGAGGGAGGGAAGGAGTGAGTAAGTGAGTGAGTGAGGGAGGGAGGGAGAGAGACAGAGCAGAGAGAGATTGTAGATGACTGGACTAGGTTGTGGACAAAGCTGATCCAATTAAGTGCTCTTTCCTAAGCAATGGAGCTGAAATGCCAGCTTAGTCTGGGATGTCTCATGATGAAAAGTCACAGCCTGAGGTGTGAAAATGTAGAGGCATGCGTGTTTGGAGAATTTTGGAGTGTGTTAGCTTGGCCTGCCCAGTGTCCATTCCTACTTCTGATAACAATACTTCCATCCTCTCAGGGCACATAGGCTGGGTGGATCTGGCCTGCCTTCAGCCTCTAGGGATGAACACCTGACTAGTCCTGGCCAATCAACGTATGGCTTCCTGTTGCCTCAGCCCTTGGCTTCCAGATGGCCCATGGCCTAGGTTTAGATCAGGAGACACCATCTCAGAACTGTGGCTGGAACTATGGAGAAGATCCCATATCTCTCCTGGACTGCTGAGCTGGTGAGGTGTCTGCCAGGAACTGTTGGGAACCATCTTGCCACCACCCAACCTGACACTTAAGCTGGCCCAGGAGAAAGCAGAGGCATTAAGGAGCCGATGCTACTGTCCTTGAACCTGTCATTTAGGGGAATCCAGATCCTTTTTGTTTGGGCTTTACCCCATCAGCCAGTTCATATTAACTTTCTCCCACTGGCAACAGAAGCCCTTATTTACTTGTCTGTGTAAATACCTTCTTTCATGTAAGTTAGTTTTGAGGTGAATTTTGAGGTGAATTTTTAGTCCTCATAGCCAGTGATTCTACCCAGAGGATAAAGCAAAAAGTCTGTATGTACGCAGAGATATGAGCGAAGCAAACAGCCTAGTCTGTAGGGATGATGCCTAGGCTGAAGGATGGTGCCTAGGCCACAGGGATAGTACTGGCTAGTTTATTATCAACTTGACTGATTCAATTTAGAGTTACCTGAAAGAGGGAACCACAACCGAGAAAATGCCTCTGTAAGATCATCACATAGGCAAGCCTATGGGTGCATTTTCTTAATTACTGACTGATGTGACAGTGCCAACCCTGGACAAGTAGTTGTGGGTGGTGTAAGAAGGCTGAGCAATCCATGAGGACTGAGCCAGTAAACAGCACTCCACTATGGCATTGTCTTTAGTTCCTGCCTCCAGTTCCAGCTCTGCTTGAGTTCCTTCTCTAGTGATGAGCCCTTACCTGGAAGTGTAAGATGAACTAAACCCTTCCCTCTCAATTTGCTCTTGGTCATGGTGTTTTATCATAGCACTTAATGCCTAACTAAGAAAGAAATGATCCAAAGATGTAGGGATGGAGCCTAGGTTGAAGAAATGGAGCCTGGGGTGCAGGGATATGGGAGCCTAGGCTGCAGGAATGGATCCTAGGCTGCAGGGATATGGGAGCCTAGAATGTAGAGATGGGGAGCCTAGGATGTGGGAATAGAGCATAGGATGTAGGGACAGTGAGCCTAGGATGTAGGGATAAGGAGCATAGGCAGCAGGGATGGAGCCTAGGTGTAGGGATGGAACAGAGGTTGCAGGAATGGTGCTGAAGCAAACAGACACTGCTAGGCAAACACAAAGGCATGCTGACCTGTAGCCAATGTCCACAATGTCTACTATTCATTGTAGGACCTTCATTCAACGGAAGTGGTACCCTGAGTTAGCTCAGCATTGCACATCCCAGCCACCATCCAGGAGTCTGGGCCTTTCTACTTCCAAGCTTTTCGCAGGCTCCCAGCCAGCTGTTTACTTCTCACCTTCAGTGTAACCTCCTCATCCCTCATGCACCATCTCTAATAAGCCTTAGTCCTCATCACACCCTGTAGTTTTCTTGGATGCATTCCCTCTTTGATTATCCTTTGATTTTAAATTATTTTTAAAAATATAAGATACTTATAGATTCAAATGAAACTGTAATACACACAGAGAGATGGGAGGAGTTATAGCTCCCTTAGCCAGTTTTCCCCAATTACAACATATTACAAAATAAGTACAACTGTGGTACAGTATCAGGACCAGTGTACTCTCTAATCACAATCAAACTACAGCATACAGTGCATCCCTCCTTTTGCCATTTTAGAATCATATCTGCTTACCTCCTGACCCCCTGGTCCCTGGCAACCATCAATTTGTTCTTCATTTATAGAAACTTGCCATTTCTAGAATTTGATATAGGTGGAATCATACAGCATGTATGCCTGGGCTGACTTTTTTTCACTTAGCACAGATCTCTGGGAGTGTTTCATCTTTGTATTGCTGAGAACGTGTGTGTCTCCACACCCCACCCACATTTGCTTGGGTCACTGTTATTTTAGCTGATCTAAGAGACCCATGATTCTAACTCATCGTGGCTTTAATGTGCATTTCCTAATGGCTAAGGGTGTTGAACTTTTCATTCGTTTGTTTATGATCTGCATACCTTCTTGCCTGGTCACTTTTTAACTGGGAGGTTTTGTTGGTCTGTCTTCTTCATTTTCGGAGTTCAGTTCCTTACATGTAGTAGGTGGTTTAGTTGCTTTTCTGTTGCCTGTGGTCTGTTTTATTGCAAAATTTAGATGAAGATTGGCTTTCTGTTACAGGTGTCCAGTAGCTTCAGCACCATTTGTGGAAAAGTTTGTCCTCACTCCACTGAACTGATTAGTACCTTTCTCAAAAATTAGGTGGGCATTTGCTTGAGTCTGTTTCTGAGTCCCTTTGTTCTATCCCATTGATGGATGTGTCTACACCCCCCCCCAACACACACACTAATATCAGTATGGGTTACTGTAGCTGTTATAGAGCCTGAAATTTGGTAAACTGAGTCACCATATTTTCTTCTTCTTTGAATTATTTTTAGTTATTTCCATCTGCATTTAAAAATACCCTATCTGTATGTATGTTTTATTAAAATTTTGCTAAGAGTCATATTAAACCCGTACTCCACTTTGAGAACTGCCATGGACCTCACATTGAGTGTTTTGATCCATAAACATGGTCTAACTACTAAGATCAGTGATTTCTTTCATTGGTGTTTTTCAGTTTTTAGCACAGGAGTTCTAGAAGTGCTTGCTTGGTCTAAAGCCTATGCATTTACTTTTCTCTCTAGTAGAAATATCATTATGTTTTTATTTTGTGTCCAAATTTTCATGCAAGTTTATAGAAATAAAACAGACTCTGTGCTTTCTTCTTATGGCCTAAGGCTGTGCTGAATTCATGGATCCAGTCTGAGAAGCTTTTGGTAGGTTCCACAGAGACAGTCATTATCTGTTCATTCCTTTCTGATCCATATGGCTTTTGTTGCCTTTTATATCTAATTGTGCTACCAGAACTTTGAGTTGAGTAACAGTGGTGTTGTCAACATCACAGAGAAAATGTCCTTCGACCTTTTTCAATGTTGCCTAGAGGTGCTTATCAGTTTTCGTTATCAAGTTGAAATCCCCCATTATTTTTTAAGAACAAGAGCTAGCTTTCCTGTATCAGTTGATAAGATCATATGATGTTCCTTCTTTTGGCTGCTAATGTGGTAGATGGCACTGACTGAGTTTCAAATTCTTTGTCACTGGGTAACTCTCCTCAATAAGGTATATGCTTCCTCTCTCATATTCCA